CATATTGGATATGCAGTCTAGCAAATTCCATCCAACTCTCTTCCATCTCCTCCCCAACGATTATTTTACAGGTCAGCAAACTTTCTTTCCTCGCCCGAGAAATATACGACTTGTCGAAAACACGGGAAATAAAACTGTCGCCCTTTTTCCTCTGGAAGCCAGCCAGACACAAGGATGATTCAGTACGCGCCAATTTGAGCAAGAAATATCACAAATTAAATGCACGGGCGTTGATGAAAACATCATGTTTCGTCATGTTTTTTGCTATCCTTAATTTTTAACTAATGTGCTGAAAAATGTGACCTTATGGAACTGACTAGGGTTTGATAAAAAATTCACTTTTCTTTTAGAGCGTTTTTTTTATTGTATCATAACAAACGCTATCTTTTTTAATTTTAACAGCATAATTTGTAATTGACTTTAAGCATTCAATTAAAACACTTAATTGTGCTACAAAATTTACCCTTCTTTTGAGCAAAAATTTTGTTTCAAAAATTTTATGCTACATTTTTTTCTGTAACTAATATTTTTTCTCTCAACAATTGCGTTTAAATGCGGAATCCACAAATTATAAACACAAAGTGATCTTTGAACTACACAAAAAATGTTCAAAAATTGTATATCCAATTTCAAAAAATAGCAGCTTTTTAGTTGCAAAACAACATACATGAAAAAGTAACTTTTCATAAACAACACCAGCTTAATCTCTCCCAGATCCCCGCCCACACACGGGAAGGTTTTTTTAGAACAAGGAAAGGATTTTTGAGACTCGAATGGAGGAAAACAGCCGTGGGTGCAGTATTTTTTTGGCGACACGTCGCTTTTCCCGGGCCAAAAAGTGTCTGCCACGTCCAACTTTAATTAAATCTGCCAAATTCTTGTACCCGCCGTGCTCTCGAAAATTTCTCCTTTTCCACTCTGCAGCTCCTCTCTTCGGAGTGTCACGGAAAATTGATTTCGGCACGTTCCGATTCTGATTCCTTTTTAAAAGCACATATAGTCTTTCGCCCCCGCGTGTTACAAGAGAAGGAGACACACTCATTTATAATTCAAATCGCAAGTTATTTCGGTCCAAAGCGGATTCCGTTTTTCCGTATAGGTCATAGAGTTTTGAAATATATTATTTATTATTGAGGGCTTGGTTAATTCTCACGCTATCAACGCGTTACACTTCACAAGTGGTTTATTATTAAATAAATTAAATTATTAATATATCACATCTTTTGAATAAATTCTTCAATTTTAGATTTGCAATAGATAAAAATAATAAAAATATTGTTAAAGTAAGGTTTCAGAGTGATTAAAAAAGAGTTATGAACAATTAATTCTACAAATATTTTATTAAAAAAATATTATGATGTTATCGAACCTGATGGCATCAATTTTATATCAATCAAAATAAATAATGAATCCAGAAAACTTAGTTTTAAAATCAATTGTTAAGTAAATAATTTAAAAATTTAGTTCCTCAACTTTTATTTGTCTGTTTTAGTAGATGTGGGTAAGAACTCAAAACCACATGTTTCAAGTATTTTTTGCGTCTAGCTTTTTCATAATTTTAAAGTGAAAATTCGATAGCTATGTCTAAGGTAGCAACCGAAACTTTATAATGAGAAGCAAATTAATTGAAGAGAAGTTGATGTTTCTTTTTTTGATCAAAAGTTATAGGGAAATTTCTAAGGGTTTATTTTTTATTTCTGATTTGTAATTTAAGATATAAAGCAACAAAAACAATTAGCATTATAAGCATATTATATTCAATTAAATTAAGGAAAATTTCAAGTATAATGATGTAATAAATCAAGCAATCGAAATGAAAAAGCTTAAATCAGGGATTTTTCCAAACATCTGCCAGATCAAAGGTCTTGTCTTTCAAAACGTCGTGGGTTTCGTCACTCAATGATACTCTCTCTCTCTGCGGAGAAAGATTTTGTGAATGAATTTAGGCTGGGACGATTCATCATTCAAGCAGCAACATAATTCACGCGATTGCCCCTGTCAGAACGAATAATTCAAAACGAGCGGCAGACAAATGGCAGTCTGAGTGAGTGAACGATGGTCGCTTTCAATAAAATAATAGAGCGCGAGAAATCCAAGCGCTGCGAGTTGAAAAAGTAATAGCGGCGAGAGAGAAGTCAATCGGAAGGTCAATTCTGGGTCAAGCCACGCATCTCATGAATAGCCAAGCACCTGCGAGACACCCATAAGCTGCTCGATCGCAATCGATGTACAATTCTGATGAGCATGGAAATCCATCTCCATCTCGCGCAACTCTTGAAAAATGTATCCAAAACTCGTTGAAATTGTCACTGCGATTTATCACCGGGCTCTAAATTAATATAAACACCTGCGCTTAGCATGAAGAGGGTTAAACTGTTACGGCGAAATTAATTTATCTCCGCGCACTATTTCATTGTTATCTGCCCTACGGCTGTACAACTTGGTGCTTAACGCGAAAATTTCCGTTTATTTGCTTTGCTATAGACCAACCTGATGTTTATCTCTATCTCTACTGCAAGAGAACCAACTTTCCAGGCGAGCTAAAGTTTGCGATTTTCATAGTAATAAAAAGTTAGTTAATCTGCATATTGATAAACTTTGATAATTTTCTGCAGGTTATCAAAGTTATTTTGTTGAAAAAATTTCCTTTGTTGAGTTAAACAACAAAAATTGCAATGCTTTGGTGTAATTTTGAGAGATTGCGATTGAAGTTAAATATTTCGATGAAAATCAGATTAATATCTCTGTTATTTTTATATATTATTTCATTTAATTCCATACTCGGCCAATACACGATTTTTTTTTTATCTTGGTACTTTTTTAAAACAAAAAAATTTAGAAAGAAGCCAAAATTTTGTTGGCTTCTCATCAAGAGTCGCAAATCTTTCGGTAAAAAAAGCACAAAACATTGTAGCTTATAAAAAGTACGTACTTGGTTAGGAATCGAACATAATTAAATGGAAACAACAGGTCGCTTTTAATTAGATCATTATCTGATCTAAACAATAATTTATACTTGATAGGAAAAATTACTTCTTTTGAAAAATATGTTTTACTCCTTTTCTATGATATCAGGTTGGTCGAAATGAAATGCGATACGTTTCATATTAGATCAGTTGTTGTCGGGGGTTTTTTTTATTGGAAAGACATTTGAAAGAACACAACAATAAAAAATCAGGCCCGAACGCGAAAACTTGGAAGGGAATCGCGCCTCTGTACGTTTTTGTTCTTTTAAGCCGAGCGGCTCAACTTTCATGTTAGTTCTGCTCCAAGAATTTCACAGGCCCTTGCTTCAGGAAAGGAAAAGGCAAACAACACAAGGGACTTTCCCGACCGAACAACATTTAATTTGGGAACGCAAGTGCTCCCAATTGGCCGGCTTGCTTTTTGGCTTTTCTGGTGTGTGCTTTTATTAGCCGAACAAGCCGTTTCCTCTCAAAAATAAATTACACAAAATTGAAACTTTTATAAAATGAATTTTTTGAAACATCGGAAAAGTTGTTGTATTTGTGCAGAAGTATTTTTAATCGTTTCGTAATTGCAGTTCGAAAAAATAATCGAGTTGGCCAGTGCTAATTCAATGCCCTGATTGGCGTAATTGAAAATATTTTGTCAATTTGTACCCTCGGAAAAGCCAATTGCAGATTAATAAATAATACTAATTGGGATAATTAACATCCCAAAGCAACACAAAACATAAATGTCAATTCTGCAATACCCACAAGGCCTTTTTATTATTGATTTATTTTGACGGTATTTTATTTACCTCCAATTTTCAATTTATTTCCTCCTACGGGAATCGCCATAAAATGCCTCTCATATATTTCAATTTCAGAGCCAGCTAATAACATATCATGTGATTGATTTCGTTAACAAATGAGGATAGAGCTATATTATGATATTCCAAAATTCAGTTGTTAATAATCTGTGTTAATCAGAGCAAAAATTGAATTTTGAATGCCTTTGCGTACAGCAGCCACCTGCAACACACATAGAGGAAGATTCAGAAGGTTTTTTGGGACACGAAAAGCAAAATTTATGTAATCCGCCTTAACAACTGCGCCCGTGGCAAAGCCTGCGCCAGTTTTGCCAAAGTAGTGGAACGTTCAGTCAGAAAAGAGGCAAGAGCGGAATTTCGCTTTGCCCCGGAACGAAATAAATTTCTGCTGCACCAAAGGCAAAATCGGCGAAAAAAATTTGCAATTTCATTCTCCGAGAGAGCGGATAAACTGTTCTTGTCATGCGATTTATTTTTCGCGCGGTTGGTCCCATTTTTGGGGCAAATCAATTTTCATGGGGTCCCCAAATGGTTCAAATCCTCTGATGGAAATGCAACATTTGCAGTCGGAACGTAGAGGAGAAGCAGGAAATGGGGACTTGTGGGAAATGGGCGGCATGAGCTGAAAGTGAAATGAGCACTTGATTGTTGGATCACGTCCAGAAAACGGCTTGCGCTCGTTCTCGCGGTGTTCCTTTGAACGCTCCTAAAAGGATGGACCCGTTGTAAATCTTGACCCTCAAAGTATCCGAGTGCAAATGGAGCGAGACCTTTTTGTTTTACGGCAGCAAAAATAGAAAGAGTGAAAGGTAAAGGGGGACTATATTGAAAAAATGAGAGCAAAATATTTGAAAATTGATTCGGGTGCGATAAATGAGAGGGTAAATTATAGAATTATGAACTATTGCGGTAAAAAATGGTTTTCCAGACATTACTCTCCCATTTTTTCTTCAAATTTTTTCTCCTTCTACACCATGAAATAAACATTTTTAAATTAAGAGACAGGTTATGCAAAAACGAAAACAAAAAGTTTTAAGAAATTCAGTTGTTCTGTTTTAAAAAAAATGGTGAAGTTTCACACATAAACTTGTGTATTTGTGAATGAGATCAAAATAAAGAGTTTCCTAACAGAGTAATAAAAATTCCAGGCCATAGAAAAAACTTATGAAAACATTCCTCAATATGACCATAAATTGATTTAAAAATTTTGAATTTGTTCCAGTTTTTCATTTTCCGAGTGGTGCGGGGTCCGTTCATCGAGGATTTCTACCAATGCGTGACGCACGGATTTTACACGGAGAAGTGGCAGGAGCAGATGTACACCATGATCAGTTTTGTGCTCATGTTCGTGCTGCCCCTGTCCGTGCTCGTCTGCACCTATTTCAGCACCGTGTTCACCATAGCGCGTAAGTGCCACTTGTGTTCCTACCCCCATATTAAATTGCGTTTTTATGTCCAGCGCGAACGAAATGCGATACTTTTCCTCCAGCAAAATTTTCTTTTTCAAAAACTCTTTCACTTTTAAACTGTTTAATAAGGAAAAAAGCCGCTGGTGGAGGTTTTCACAAAAATCTGGATTTTTCGGAGCTCGGTGGAGAAATGCAATTTCCTGTTTTGCTCCAAACACTTTATCGCACCCGGAGGCCATAAAAAGTGCGTGCGTGTGCGATTTTCAAACGGATCCACGTGTGATAAGTCACACAGACCGCGGCAGAATCTTATTTTATTATTTTCAGATTGATTTTCCATATGCATCGGAAAACGTTGGTTAAAAAGTAAACATTTAAAAAAATGTATATAAATTGGCGAAAGATTTGTAATTTTTACAACTCAAATGCTTCCTTTTTTTGCAAAATCATCTTGCTTTCATATACAAAATTCTGAGTTTTCATCCGAAAATTTTGTGAAATAGTGAAATACTCATAAAAAATGTATGAATGTGAAATTTTCATCCCACTTTACATCACATAATGAGATGCGTCAAAAGCATGAAAAATCACGATGTTTAAACTAAAACAGCGGGATTAAAATTTTATATAAACTCGCGCTTTTCTGCCTCATAAAATTGCCAAAACCGCACTTTCAAAGCCAGGTGGGTGGATTTGGTTAAAACGAGCTCGACAGGTTGACGTCGGGGAGAGCTCGTGGTAGCTCCGGGGGTTTGCGAAAAGAAATGCGGACGAGCAAATATTTAGCTGTCGGTTGGAGCCAAAGTGAATCGCAGCGCGTGCCGCAAAAATAATGTTTATTTTTAGAAGGAAAAAAGTGCGTGTAGAGGCAAACAAACGTCTTCATTATACGAATGTACAGCCTTGACCTCGACGCTCGATGTAAGGTCGACAAAGATCCCTTTTAATGGCATCCGTTGTTTTTTCGTATTGTTTAGAGGAAAAAAACAATGCATTATTCAGCTTCTATTCGATCAGCAGCCAAAAAAGAAAAAAACGAAAGCACCTCCCATTTGCAGGAAAGCCACAGAAGTGATTTCGCAAAATGCAAATTGGTCTGATTTCCAGATTTGCTCAGGCTGGTGCTCGGAAATAACCCAAAGTATCCCGAACGACAAAGGCGGGTCCTAATGGACCCAAATCAAGGCAGGCACTCGTGTGGAAAAAACGCAGTGTTGCCCAGCGTCTCTAAACGGGGGCCTAAATTAAGTCGGAAAAAACTGAAGAGTCAGAAAAAAAATTCAACCGCATTTAATACCAGGAAAATAATAATATTAAAAACCTAAACAATACTTTGATAATAAAATTCATATAAATAATACATGAAATAAAACGTTTTCAATAAAAAAAGGAGTTATATTCTCCGTAAACTCCTATTATTCACTATTTTCAACTCTTTGAACTTCAAAGCCAATAAGTGAATGAAATAATTCATTGTATATACCATTAAAAAGCAGCAGCTGACCAGTCAAATAGGCGCTACAAGCCATTTGACTTCACTCATTGATTTATTAGGATCCATGACTTAACTACAAGTTAACAAAATGCAGAAAAGACAGTAATAGCAATACAGGAAAAAAGCGTGCTGAAAATTGTTTCCAAGTTTGAAACATTTCATCGACCTTCTAATTTTGTCAGATAATTTGGAATTATCCCTATTATACAAATTTAAAGTCACTTATATTTCTGACATCACTATTATAGCAATTTAATATTCTGACACAATATTTTGAAACTCTCCTGGCATTGTATTTCCGGACATGATGTGACGACCCTTTGCAACGTGTGCGACCAGCTTACCAACGATCGAAGAAATATATTTTCATCTATGAGCGCCAAACTGGTAGAAAAATTCAACCAGAGGAAACGAACGGGGCTGATTTCCAAAGACTTTCTCGCCCTTATTAAGAACAATTTTTCAGTGCAACGCGTAATCGGAAAAATAATTATTTACAGAGTTCAAAAAATTTGTCCATTCCGGGATGCATAACCCTTTCGAAACAATTAAAATCAAGTATCACTGATTGTTGCTTTTGTAGCGCGCAAAAACAAGGCAGATTTAAATTGCGAATGAGGCGTTTTGTAAACACATTACATTGTACAATTGAAAGTGACCTTTGGAATTATGGAGTTGAAAAACTGTTTTTTTTTTTACAGTGAAATATTTATCTAAAAGCTAGCCCATTGACCATAGAATTAAAACATAAGTAAAAACACAAGTATTCAATACAATTATTTGTTTGTAATAAGAAAAATATTATTTTCAATTTGCAGTTTGCATGAACTAGAAATTTATAGCTTACTACCTCGCAATTTATTTGATTAAAAAAGAAATAATGAGTTTTTCTCAAAATAATTGCTTTGACCACTTACATAATTGTTGTTATGTTTAACATAATAATAATAAAATTTAACACACGAAAGCTAATAGTTTCCACCTTTTGTTCATGATTGTGTTTCAACATTCTTATTTAACAATACAAAAATTTCTAATTGTATTCATTAGAAAAAAATGAGCAAAAATATTTAATTGATTTAGCTTTTATCAAAATAATTAAACAATTTTTTTATTCTGTTACAAATAAATTTGAATATTTGAGACGTTGATCTGCGTTGATCATCAGTCAGAATGATGGAAGACACAGTGGAATTTAATCAAAGTTAAACCATTGTCAGGTGCAACGAGAGCCAAAGTTGTTTCTCGAGTTAAATCCGTTTATGCAGCTTTGATTTAAGTAGACAGCAAGTTCAGTTCAGAGAGGTAAACTTTGCCGTCTAACATATCATATACAAGCGCACATACCCATCTGCAGGCTAATAATGCCCCACAGCTCCGATTCTCGCAAGAAGTGAACGGACGGTCTTAATTGAATGTGTTTTGTGGAGCGAAACGGCTTGGATTAACTCTGAGGGCAACTTAGGGCTAGACGATGTGTGTTGGTTTTGTGCTTCCCTAACTAATACGTAGCAGGGAGGGTGCAAAAAATTGGATATGGAAATTCCACGGCGGCCTAATGACAAAGGCAAGCCACGCCAAATTTGGATGCGTTTGCCATGCAAATTCAGCTCGCCCTTCTGACTTCTGAAACACAGGTGAACAAATTTTGAGCTGGGGAGAATTCCTTGGTAAATTAACTTTGAACACACACAGAGGACACGTGCATGCCACTTTATCTAAAAGAATAATTTAGATTTATGCATTAATTCCTTGCACCCAAAATGTGAGGTAAAAGTTAATTGAATTGAAATTGGTCTTACTTTCATCTTCTTTTCATTTTGAAGTTTTAAATTTTCAATAGATAAATACAACATTTGGATATTGACCAAACTAAAATTTTTACAGAATCGTAATAATGGAAGATTATGACTTACAAAATTGATATTTTCTCCAATTATTGAAAAAAAATTATAAATATAAACAGTAATGTAATCTTTGAAATTAAATAGAAAATTTAATCAAATTGAATTTATTTAACGAGTTAAAAACCCACACAAATAATTTTTTTCTAATTATAATGTCTTTATGATGTGAGAGTGGAAAATTATATATTAACAATTTTACATATTTCAGCATGAAAATAAATTAATGCATTTTTTCTCGTCTAAATAATTTGACCCTCGGATTTAATCTAGAATGTTAACTGAGCAGAGTTGAATATTTTAAAGGATTTTCTTCCCTCAAGGTTCAAAGTCATTTGGCTGAAAATGCGCAAGCAAGCCAAACACACCCTTGCTTAAAAGATTTTAATTTTCAAATTTACCTATTGCAATTTCATTAGTCCGTCAAAAATCTATTCTATTCTCGGAATGAAAATCATGAAACCCTTGAGAGATGAAAACCCAGCCTTTTTTCTCCTTTAAATTTTTCGTTTAAAAAAAACAGTCACAGTCTGTGCCCGTTTTTCATTAGCAAGGACGTAACATAAAAAAAATCAGCAAATGAAGCATAAAACGAAAAAAATCTTGCTTTTGTTTAAGAAAAAAATTTCAGCAATTAAATATGAAAGCCCCAGTTTGCGACTCATAATTGTCTCCTCGAGTGCCCGGCAATTCTACCCTCATTGTACTGGAGTTGCAGGTTTTATTTTTTTAAATGTGACTAAAACAAACAAGTCTTTTTTTTAATAATGAGTGGTTTAAAATTTAGTCAAAATTAACAAAGAAAATTGCTAAATGGGGAAATGTTATGTATAAAATTCCGCAACTGGTGTATTTATAACGCAAGCAAAACCACGCTTCTGAAGGTACTCTCTTTTAATTGCAAAGCCTTTTCATTAACAGGTATGTTACGAACGCGGACAAAGAAGGATGTTTTGAAGCGCGCAGAGTTCTGTCATAATGCTCTGTGCGTAGAGGCAAAAGAGAGAGCCACGCGCATTCTTGTACGAAAGGAAAATTACACAACGAAGGAAGGTTTAAAAAAACTTCTCAAATGAGTACAAATATATTCTTTGAGCTTAAAATGACAACTCGGAGAACACATACTTTCCGCCTTTTCCTTCTGCCAGAGCGAAACAGAACAACAACGAAAGAGACGCACGTTTTTAGAACAGAACAGAAGAAAAAAAAAACGAAAAGAGTACCAACAAAAAACGTCCCTCGAGAGGGAGTCGGAAAGTTGGTCGAAACAGGAATTTGCGAGAGGAGCGTGTGATTGCCAAGCGGGATAAAAAATTCATTTGTCGGCGGCGCAATTGCCTTCATCAGTCGGCGGGTCACGAAAGAGCCGACGGCCTCTTTCTGGGCCACACCATCGAAAGCAAGCAATACTTGTCAATACCGTAAATAATTCATGTGGAAGCCAAAGTATCTCGCATACTTGTTGCTCCGCCGTGAATATTTTATTTCAACGTGCAGGTGTTGATTTTTAACAAGCACGCTTGATTTCATTGGAAAAGTGTTTTTCGTATCTACCGGATTACGTTTTAATGAGAAATAAGCCGAGGCAAAGCCTTTAA